ACCTATATGGAATTTTGCCTGAAAAGTGTGTAGTCCATTCGTTACTTTAGATATTCTAATAGCAATAATAATAGCAGCTAGAAATTGTTAAGTATTTACTATATGCCAGTTACTGAGCCAAGCGCTTACTGGCAATTCTTTCTTTTAATTCTCACAACCAGCGGTTCACCAACTTTGGCATGCATCAGGTCACCCTAGGGCTCGTTAAAACACAAATTGTTGCGCCCCATTCCAAGGGTTTCTGATTCATTAGGGGCCTGAGAATTAACATTTCCAATAAATTCCTAGGTGATGCTGAGCTGCTGGTCTGGAAACCATGTTTTGAGACCTACTGTTTGCTACAAACCTAGGAGGTTGGCATTTCAATCTGTATTTTATAGATGAAGAAGATTGAGCTTATGTAACTTGCTCAATACACAGCTAAATAAGTGGCAGAGTTGGGATTTGAAAATTTACTTCTTTGATTCCTAAGTCTGTAGTCTGAATTTCTGTTGTCTAGGTAATTTTGCAATAAGACATTCTGGGCAGAATAGTAATAGAAACTTTTTATAGCCTCATGATAGGATAGGGCTCTATTTCTCCCAATACTGAGGTCCAAATATATTAAAGCATGTGCATGTTGTGAGATGGCCAGAGTGCTGGGCAGAGTAATATGGCCCCTAGGAGGGGCTTTATCATGAAGACATAAATAGACTAGACTAGACTGGTGGGCAGCTCCGCCACACCAAGGGCTGTGGAACAAAGGGGAGCCTTGGTTCCAGGTCTGCAAAGTGTCCAATATTGGAATTTATCTTCACCAGCCATTCTGGTGGGGGATTTCTCCTGGGAGAATTGACTTTGCATGTGTAAATTTAAAGAGCTCTTGTGTTATAGAGTTGTGTTTTCTAGGATGCCCTCAACTGGGGATAACAGGGAAGGAAGAAAAGGCTGTCATCATGTCATAGTGCTCTGACCTTCATCTCTATCTGAGGCAGCCATGAGCCAAGCTCTGAGAGCTGTGGGCAGTACTGAAGAAGGGTGTGGTCAGGTCAGCAAGAAGCAGTGTCTGAGTAAGGTCCCATCACCATGAGATGGCCAGGGTGTGGGCCCCCGTTAGTTATATCAACGAGGACAAGAACTCTATCAGGTAACTGAGGTACGATTTTGAGTCTTTGTGGGCAATATCATTGCCTCCAGTTAAACTACACTAATTAAAACAGCATTCCATGCCCACTTCTATAGAATGCTGCATCAGAGGCCAGTGGTGACCTTCCAATTTCACCAACTTTCAGCCCATTGAACCCCAACTTCACTAGAGGTGACCACAGAAAGTTTTCGAGGCAAGTGGGGTAGGAGTGTGAAATGGGGAAGAGGCCCCTCTTCACCGGCAAGTAGAAGGGAGAAGACTGATTTGTAGACACAAATCAGTGTCCCTGGAGATTCTCAGAAACATTTAGGGCAGGGGAATCTCCACTGCCCAATGATCTGACAGGTGAAGGCTCAGAGTCTTTGTATTTCAGAGTGTTAATGTGAATCATTTTGTGCTCCTTTATACTCCCAGTTTGATGAAAACGTCAATGCAGCAGTCATGTAAAGTTTAATACCTGAATCAGGGCAAGAACTCTGGCCTGTTGTGAATTGTGCTTTGGAGCTTGGTGATGTCCTCATTGTCCTCTTTGTGAGGGCTTCTCCTTCATGAGAGGCCATCTCTTGAGAACTAACATGTTTCTATACATGAACGGTCAACTTGAAGTTTGATCATGCTTCCTTCTTCATTTGGCTCCTAGAAATGAGTCAGATTTGTCATTTACAAATAGCAATTGAGCAAGATCTTCTATTATACATTCTTTGACTATTTTATCCTTGTTCCTTTGTACATTTACTTTTCTCCTGTTATGTGTTATACATTTTCCCTTCTAAGGTTTTTGAAAGAAGGGAAAGGGAGTATGTACAGAAATGAAAAAAAGGAAGGGTGGAAAAAGAGGTAGAAGAGAAGAGAAAGGAAGGAAATTTAACCCATTTTACATAGTACCTCTATATAGAAAAGCATAACAATGGAAATATTACAATTCTACCTTGAAGTGACTGATCCTAAATTTGAAGTATTGATGTAGTCAACAAAAGTACATTTGTAACAAACTACTGTTTATAAAGTACAAATCAATGATGAGCACTGTAAAATTAACCAGAGTCAATGGGAAGTAATAATGAGAACAGATAGATTTTGGGGTTTATTCTCCAAGAAATGTAGATAGGCATTTTTTATGATATGGATGTCAAAAAGTGCAGTGTTTTCTAGAGCAAATACATGTAATAGTACCAATCTTAGTCATTGGTAGATCTCTCATAGAAATTAGAATGCTGTAAGCAGGTATGGGGCTTGCTGAAACCCAGCTTTAGGTGTACTAGGTGTTAGGGGACACAAAATCCTGTCCTTGAACTCAGCTAAATTAGCAAGTAATTGCAATCCAAGGCAATAATTGCCATAGTTGTACATACACAATTCTGCCTGAGGGAGTCTGGAATATCTTCATAGAGAAAGGAGTGTTTGAGCTTACTCTCGACAACTGAGTAGAAGATCTTCAGGTGGAGCTGAACCGAAGAAACTATATAGAAAAGGCAAGCAGGCATCAAAGTACATGGTTGTTGGGAACTCTATGTACTATATAGCTCAAGTTTCAGATAACTTTATGGGACTACCTGGATACACGTGCCCTAAACCCTGAGGCATCAGATTCTCAGAAAAGTTGCTTATAGCAGTAACCCATCTCCTTTCACCTCTAATTAGTTCTTTTTCTTGTTCTCATAAACCTGAGAAGCCTCCTGTATAGCCTCCTTACTTAGAATCCCCGTAAATTTTCTTACTATTCACTCTTTGTTGGTTGAGTAGTTTGAGTTGTGGATCCATCATTTTTGTGTTCTCCAACCCTTGGAGATGCTATTGGGACTTTGCTAATTGCCTTTACTGAGCTAAGTCTTCTGTGTCAGGCTCTCACAGGTAGAGGTCCAGTCCTCCAAAGAACAAAGATCAGCAGTGAGCCAAGGGTGGGGCAGTTTCAGTGAGAAGGGAGTTTGGCATGACTGATGTGTCCTCCTCACTGTTTAAAAATAATATGGGCCAGGTGTGGTGACTCACGCCTGTAATCCCAGCACTTTGGGAGGCTGAGGTGGGAGAATTGCTTGGCCCCAGGAATTTGAGACCAGCCTGAGCAACATAGCAAGAACCTTGTTTTTTCCCTTCACCCCCCCAAATTAGCCAGGTGTGGTGGTACACACACTTGTAGTTCTAGCGCCTCTTGAGGCTGAGGCAAGAGGATTGCTTGAGCTCAGGAGTTCAAGGTTACAGTGAGCTATGGCAGCACCAGTGCACTCCAGTCTGGGTGACAGGGTAAGACCCTGTTTCTCTAAAAAAAAAGAAAGAAAAAAAAGAAGAAATGAAAGAAAACTTCCACTCGCTAGTTATCTTGTCTGAGAGTTTTATCAGGTTAGATTACTTGAATACCTGACTGTAAAAATAAGCCAGATTCAACAAGAACTAGATTAAGTACATATAGTAAGATATACAAAGCAATGTCATTTTTGTGACAGCTTTCAAGGAAGATTTTATTTGGCAATGGCAATGAAATTTACTCCCCAGAGGTTGACAATAGCAACTGATCTAACAGTCATCTGGAAATCCAGTAATTTATCATCTACCACGTGTCAGCCACTTTGTTCATAATATGGTTTAATCCTTTTAACACAAGGTAGTGTCAGCTTTTATTTTGAAATGTCGTTCTTAGTGTGCTCATGGCCAAAGAATAACCAGACATACCAAAGTAAGGCAAGCACGAAAATGAGGTTTACTGAAAGTTAGGATTATAGGGCAAGAGCAAGATAAAGGTTTACAGAGCATGATATATACGCCACAGATGATGACCAGACCTGTTGTCACAGCAAAAGGAGAGCAAAAGGAAGGGTGCAAAAAGGGACTTGGTTATGGTCTGCATCTTGTTTTATAGTGCCCATATTGGGACCTCCCTAGTGGCTTAGATGTCACCATGGAACCACTTTGGACAGTTGGAAGTTGCATTACTATGGATACAGGTTGTTCTAGGGCAATTTCCCAACTCTATGGTACCTATGCAGCTTGGCCTGTGGGCTAGAGAGTCTTCTGCATTCTGTTGCAGCTGGCATGCTAAGTCATGATTGGCAGATTCATTAGGTATTGCCTCCTCCCCCAGGTATGGCAGTCTCTCGGGAGAGGATTAGGGTGGGGCAGGACCAAGATGGGGCCCTGGGGCCTACCCTCATCCTTGTTCCCAGGTTGGGTGTTGCACCAAGGCAACAGCACCCACTTTCATCTCTAGGAGACCTGGAATCCCTATCTACCTAATAGTAAGTTTATGTTATTCTCATTCTAGAGACGAGCAAGTAAGCTCAAAGAAGTTTAATAACTGACCCAAGGCCTAGCAACCAAGTGGGAATGCCACTGTTCTGCCTACTTTCTAAAGTCCTACTTTTCCCATTATGGCCATGCTCCCTAAAACCATCAACAGTGAGTTTGCATTAAAGCTACCCCAAAATTCCTAGAATGTACTTAAGATTGTTCTTCTACCATTTCAGCACAAGTCAGAAAGGTGATAATGCTTTCAGGAAACTGAATAAAAGAGACAGCTAGTACTACAAACATTCCCAAAGTATCATAAAATACATGATGTAAGGGAGAACAATAAATGATGTCATGTCAGAAAAATTTAAGACTGATTTTTGCTTTAATTTCGCAGGGTCTTTTTTTTTTTATCTTCCTCTTATTTCTTATCTTAAAAACAAAGAATCCAGAACATTCTGTTGGAAGTCCTCCAAAAAGAAAGAGTATTCTTTCATATACTGCTGATAAAAATGTAAATTGCTTAAAGTTTTCAAGAGGACAACATGGCAGTAACAAAAGTTTTAAAAAACTGGCATACCCTATCCACTAGCAATTCCACTTTGATTTTGGGAAATAATTAAGAACACATAAAAGATTTAGCAACACAATGTTCTTTAAAGCACTTTATTAATGAAAAGTTGGAAACCTAAAACTTCAACAGTTTAATAAAATGTGGCACATATGATGGAATATCATGCAGCCATTAAAAAGATGTAGAAATATATTTGACACAGCAAGATAGTCATGGCATTGTCGAGTGAAAAAAAGTTACAAAACAGTATGTATAATTTGATCCCCTTAAAAAAATCTATAAATGCACAGAAAAGAGTCTGGAAGGCCATATACCTAAATAACAGTGGTTCTACCTGGATGGTTGAATTACAGGTGATTTTTATCGTCTTAACCATATATTTTTCTTTTTGCTTACATGGCTATGACTTCTATTATAAAAAAGCATTAACAATTCTTAAAAAGTCTCTGTTGAAGTAGGAATTAGAGAACTTAGCAACCTAAGAGGCACAGGGATGTACACATTAGTCTGATACTACTTTAACAGTTTGTCAGCATGTTTAATGTTAATTGGTTGTCACCAATTAAAAGGCACTGTGCTGAGTGAAAATGTGGATGGTGGTAGTGCTTATGCTTCTTCAGACTAAAGGATCTATTTCTAGAAACCCTCCACAGCTACCAAGTACTGACATTCTATGCCATATTTCCTACTAAGCATATCTTTTTACCTCCATACTCACTTGTATTAATAATATAGACCAGAAGGTTCCCCTACACCAGACACAGCAGTGTTGTTGGTAAGGGTAAAAGAAGGCAGAGAATTTTTCAAGTGATGTCAGATAGTAGGCCTAAAGGTGAAATGCAAGTTCTTAGTTCTACTGCAGTGTTTCTCAAGTTTTAGAGTGCAAGAGAATAACTCAAATGGCTGTTACAACAGATTAATGGGCCCCACCCCCAGAGTTTGATTCAGTAGGTCTTAGGGAAGGCTTATGAATTTGCATTTTTTCTTTTATTCAACAAATACTTATTGAGTACAATACTATGTTCTAAGTCTTGTGCTAAGAGTTGGGAATTTAACTGTGATCCAAAAAATCATAGTCTGTGTCTGAGGGAGCCTAAATTCTAGATTGACAGATACAGACTAAACAAGAATATAAAAATAACTATAACTACAATTATGATTAGTGCTAGAACACAGTAAAGACTAGAAGACTCGTTTTTGTCTTAAAATATTTAAACAGCTGTCACATGCAAAACTAATTCAATAAGCCCTTGAAAACAAAAGATAAGTGCAAATGAAGGTAGAAAGCACTTGGAAATAGTCATTAGCATTTTAAACAAGTTTCTAGGAGATGCTGATATTGCCAGTCTGGGGGTCTCACATTTTGAGAACCACTGCTCTACTAAGCAGATTTTCTAATTAGGATAATATGGAAGAAAAGGCAGTTATGATTGTGGAAATTCCTTCCCAACATTTGAGACTCATCATGAGGTAAGGACCATTTCATCTTATCTGGAGAAGGGGTTGAGGCAAAGTTGGCTGTAGGCCAAACTATAAAGCCATCTCTCCATTATGGCTCCTCCCCCAGGCTGGAAGTGCTATATACTATGGTAACATATTTCAAAATTTCAGGTGTTTGGGAGACAGGGAAGGAATTTTCAGGAATCCAGTCAACAAAGCATGGAGGTAAGCTGGGCCTCTATGGGTGAACAAGTCTACGGTTTCTTGTCCTGCCCTCCATCATCTTCCACTCCCGTTTATCTCGGAAATGTCTCCTCAACACTAGCTTCCGCAGTCTCATTTTGTGCGTTGGTTCTAGGGGAGGATGGCAGGAAACTATGAGGATGGGCTCTAAGCCACATTGGTAATCCTCTGGTTTCAGGTTTCTTATTTCCCACGTTACACAGAGTGAGGCACATTCCCATTTTTGGGGCCTCCTCACCTGCAATATGGATTTTTCTGATTAGCACCCTAAAAAAGTTTTAACACCATGACATTTTAAAGTTAGATTACTATGAAGACAAAGGTAGACACAATTCAATCACTTTTTTCTGTTTGTAGAAGGCCCTACAATTATTTCCTAGTTTATTATTTTATTCATATGTGCATCTTTCACATGTTACTACACTTTTAGATTAAGCTCGAGGGCACAGAGCTTATTTAAATAATTATGAATTGCACCATGAATTAATACGCTTCCTAAGCTTTTTCTTTCATGGCTAAGAACCTTCATGGGCCTTTACCTGAGTAAAAACTAAGCAAATGACTTTAAAATAAACAAATACCAAAATAAAACAAAAAATCAACCAACCAAACAAAACCTCATTAAAATAAAAAGTATAAACATAAAAGCAAGCCTACATATTATGGTGGATTTATGGTAGACAAAAGTACAAGAAGCCTTTGAAACTTGTTACTGAAGGCTTCTGTCTGTTATCTGGTTACTATAATCAACATTCACCTGATGGAAAACAGAAAGGTCTGATAAGGAATTTATACTGACTGTGGTGAGGTTAAACCCAGATTGGGGCTGATTTAAAGAGGGTGGAGGATAGGACAGATAGGGAGTAAACAGAGCCCAGACATAAGGAGGTACTTCTGGTACACAGTCATAAACAAGGCCCACAGTCTTAGTAGGTGAGGAAGCTACTGGGACTCACATGAGAAAACTGGTATTTACAGAATGTTTACTATGTGCCAATCTACGTACTACCCCCCCCCCATAAGCACCTGAAATACAAGATAACATTTGCTATATAATACAACCACCCTAAGGTAACATAATTATTATCCTCATTTTACTGGTAAAGAAATGGCAGTTATACATCTGAGTTAAAGCTCGAAGAGCACAGTATGTGAGGAAGACAGGATTTGAATCCAGGACCATTTCATTCCATTACTAATACTCTTTCCTCTTTATCACTCTATTTCCCCTAAACCTAATTTTATGGGAAATAAGTTGCTGTTTAAGATGACCTGAAGTTTTGGTACAATCTTTCAAAGCCTACATCTGGACTTGTGTAACAGAACAGATAATACACTAGGCTGTAGAACTTCTTTTCTGAGGGAAGGCTAAAAAGTTTCATTTACTTGGTTCTATAAAAAAAACCAGCTTGAGCAGCTTTTGAAGTTCTTTAAGAATACAGCAATTCACAGTGTTAAAACATCTTATAAACTATTAAAATTGTAGAAGAATTTGTCTCAGCACAGAAATAAAAAGGTAACAACTAAAGTTTGGACTGTGAATTAAATTATCAACATATTAGGAACTCTTAACACACAAAAGGATATTTTAAAATGGTGTTTAAGTATTCACTTTTTTAAAGTACCAAAAAGATCATTTTGATAGATTAACATTCCCTGAATAAATGAACTTCACTTTTGTACTTCATGTTAAGCCAGAGTAAATTATTAATACTTTTAGTTGCCAGAATATGCTATGTTCTCTCTTGGCTCAAGGCCTGGCACATCTTTTTCCCTCTACCTGGAACACTTTTTCTTAAACCATCTCTCACTCTCCAATTTGGAGTTAGGTGACTCCCAAACACAGTATCCTGTATTTTTTTCTATCATAGTACTGATCTTGTTATGGAACAACTGCTGGTTTATTTTTTTGTATCCTCTACTGGTCATAAGCTCTGCAGTGGCAAAGACTATGTGTATCTTGTTCAGAGTAGTATCCACAGTTGATCAGTATAGTACCTGGTCCTCAACAAATGTTTGTTGAATGAATGAATGAGAATGAGAACAGAAGTCTCAACAAGCAAATGATCTGCCAATTTGCTGATTCATAGCATGGCCCAAATAGCAATTTTCTGGCTTTAAATGTATCACTAATAATTTCATGAGTGTGTGCTTCACAAGCAAAGATCCTGATCAAGATAACATATGTTCATTAATAAATTCAATACTTTAAGAGTAGGCTCAGAGAAACCAAAAATTTGTGTGTAATTTACTTTATAATGAATGCAGTTGCATTAATCCATATTTTTATATAGATTTGTTGTTCCATAAGAACAAATCCTCTTTACTGCAGTATGTTCTTAATGGATCCAGTTCTGATTTTGCATTAAGTTGTGCCAACTGAGTAATCTTAAAAACACATTCAGTGAACTGAATTTATACCAGATATTTTAGAACCTTAACTACAAATTTATCAGAGAAATATGGTAATGCCTTTCAATAACTAGTTGTTCTTAAATTTAAAAGAAACCAGTAGTGTTTAAAAACAAACCAAACCAAACCCAAAATAACACATCAAAACATAGTACTGAAATCATCTGATTTCTGTTGGAAAACAAGGTAAACAGGGATAACTGCCATTTCTGTTTGTGGAAGCATTTAGAAACAGTCTATTCTTCAAAACAGAGTAGTTTTTTTTTTTTTTTTTATATCCTGGAGAGCTCTTTTTTAAACCAAAAGTTTTAAAACAAACTTTAATTTTACTCTTTGGCTATTAATTATACCTAAAAAATGAGTCACTGATATCAATTCACAATAGATTTATTTTACATAAAACAAAAGCTTGCTGTTAGTGAAAAATTCAGTAGAAAACAGTTCTTCTGCTTTAAGTTGAGGCTCAAAAGTAGAAGCTGCTTATTAGTGAAACTTCAGTAAAAAGAATTTTGTAAGAAAACATTCTTGGCATGAAAGTTGTAACATAAATTCTGTAATCAAATATTTATCATGCAACTTTATTGGCAGAAAGGCCAGTTTCTGATAGCTGGTATTTTCAGTCTCATAAGACATTAACATGGAAGATACTCAAACCTGCTATATTTAGAGTTAATTGTACATAAATACAATGTCATGATGGGCAATCTTTCCACAGTCCACCTATTTAATTGAGCAGTTCTAAGTAGGTAATTGGCACCTTGCCCTTCTGATTTCCTCTTTCCCCCATTAGCCAGTCTGAATCCATTCCAACAACACTGAACACAGTGATCACCTACAAAATAAAATATTTCCATTTGTTAACTACATTAAAAATAATCAGATTTGTATTTGTTTAATTTTTCACAGGGCTTTAAATATTATTAATTTTGCTAAAAGATAAAAAGATTTTATAAGAGGCAGTTTCAAGTTCTTTAGCAGTTAAAGTTTTAAATATTTCTGTGATATTCTATTATATTCTATAGGAACTAAAATTTTATAAAATGCTGGCCGGGCGAGGTGGCTCACGCCTGTAATCCTAGCCCTCTGGGAGGCCGAGGTGGGCGGATTGATCGAGGTCAGGAGTTCGAAACCAGCCTGAGCAAGAGCGAGACCCCGTCTCTACTAAAAATAGAAAGAAATTAATTGGCCAACTAATATATATAGAAAAAATTAGCCGGGCATGGTGGCGTATGCCTGTAGTCCCAGCTACTCAGGAGGCTGAGGCAGTAGGATTGCTTGAGCCCAGGAATGTGAGGTTGCTGTGAGTTAGGGTGATGCCCCGGCCCCTTAGCCTGGGCAACAAAGTGAGACTTTGTCTAAAAAAAAAAAAAAAAAAAAAAAGTTAATATACCCATCTGAAATCTACAAAACATTCATGATAAACTATTTCCAAATAAGTAATGAAGAATTTTCACTTGTTATACTTTTCTTCTCATACACACAATACTCACCTCATCTGCTAGAAGTGATAACTCAGTACTGTTTGCAGCATCATAATCATAGAGAACCCTGGCCTTCCTGCTGCCATTATACTCCTTAATATCATTGAGGTTGGCAGGAGGAGGGGTGATTACTAGGCCACTAGTTGAAGCCATGGCAGAACAAACAATCACATTTGGTAAAATAGATGGTGTAGGTGTCGCAGAAGTTTGATTGTTGTTACAAAGATAACTGGATGGAAAACTGTTGAAAAGAAAACAGCCAATTAATTATTTCCAAGCGATTAAAGTTCCTTAATATCACCACTTGGTGGCACTGTTTACTTTCTACCAACCTCCACACTGGAAAAAGATTTACAGGTATTAATAATATTTTAATGACAAAGTGTGCCATGTTCTTTTCCCCTCTTGGGCCAATTATATGAGAGACAATTCAAATGGCATTCAAATATAAATCCTTCAAAGTTTGTTTCAAATCTGTTCTTCTATAATACCAACTTAAAATTTTTAAGCAGACATAATGGCTATTTTTCCCACCAGGAAAAAAAAGATGGATTGTTTTAAAGCACTACCAAAACACTTCTGTTAGTATTATTATTTTCCTCTCTTTATGAATTGTTAAATAAAAATATCAATGAAAACTTATATACTACCACAAGAATGATGCTTTCTCAAGTTAATTCCCTGAGAAATATTTGAATACCTAAACTTTAATAAAACCAGTCCAATCATATTTTCTATTCAAATGACAAATATTTATTGAATATCTACATGTTCAGCATTACTACTACAAGCAGAAGACAAAAATGAAATGATGGCCAAGCATGGTAGCTCACACTTGTAATCCTAGCACTCTTGGAGGCCAAAGTGGGAAGATCACTTGAGGTCAAGAGTTCAAGACCAGCCTGAGCAAGAGTGAGATCCCGTCTTTACCAAAAATACAAAAAAAATTAGCTGGGCATGGTGGCGCACACCTATAGTCCCAGCTACTTGGGAGGCTGAGGCAGGAGGATTGCTTCAGCCCAGGAAGTTTGAGGTTGCAGTGAGTTATGATGATGCCACTGCACTCAAGTGGGGTAATAGAGGGAGACTCTGTTTTTAAAAAAAGATACCATTCCCTTAAGGACATACAGACAAGTGAGGAGACAGACATTCAAATAATGAAATAGAAGACTCAGTGGAAGAATAGGTCAAATTTCACGTTCATTTTATTCTATTTTTAGGAAAAAAATTAAAATTTTATTAGAAATCAGTGAAATCTTGTGATTAATGTGCTTATAAACAATTTGAAAATTATCAGAATTTTCAATTTATTTGAATGCTATTGTTTCCCCAATACTACTAAATGGAAAACAGTATAAAACAGTTGGCCTATAATCATTCTAATTCAACCATTTCTAAGGTTAGAAATTATCTATGATTTTAATAAATCCATTAGTTAAAATATAAAAGGCCTCTCACACAGTAAGCTGGATGAAATCCATCATACTAGAAAATAAAATTCCCCTTTTCTCTTTATGACCATTGTGCCTCTGGAAATCAGCCATCAGTGCACAATTTCCTGTATCTTTAAACCTTCCCTTCACCCCCTTATGCTAGTGTTTACCTCCTATACTCTTCTTTTCTAACTGAACCCAGAGGTAAATGAAGTAGGAGTCCATGCTCTTCATTCCCATGTTTAGACTCTTTCTAATTCTAATTCTACCCAATCTTTCAATTTCATGTTGTTTATATACTACTCACTATCTCTTGCTGTAATCATCTACAGATGCCTCATTTCCTCCCTTTCATTTCTAGCTCACTGACACTATATCTTACTTAATTCTTAGTGTCTTTAATATCTATATGGACAATTCTTCTAACACTTTAGCCTCTTTAATCCATTGACTCTTCTCTTCTAGTAATTCTGCACCTTACCTTATCCTACTTCAGCCACCCATTCCCTTGGTCACGTCTAGATCTTATCAATTCCAGTAACTAAAACCCTTCCAATAATCATAATTTCACCATCCCATTCTCTGACCATCACCCTTTTTATTTCTAGTACTTTCACTTCAATAAGCCTATTAAGACCTATGATCCTACCAACACTCTTTTCATGTCCATATAGTTAATTATTATAATCACCCCCTTGCATATTGCCCTCATCTTTGATGCCCCTCAATTCATTGTACTTTCAGTAAACCGCCCCCTATTTACCTACTCAGTATCCATGCATCTACTGTGACAAGAGAAAAATAGAAAAGCTTGCTGTTTGGCTTTACATTCAATTTATAATTAGGTACATCATACTGCCTGGCAATTATACATTTCTCTAGTTCATTCATTCACTTTCACTTTCCATTCTCCTTATGACTATTTCATACTATCTCACCCATCTTCAAAATTACAGCAATTTTCCCCTAACCATTACACTCAGCTGATGAGCTTGTTACCTTTTAAATGAGAGGAAAAAGAACAACCAGGAAATGACCATGCTTTTTGTCATTTCTTTTCTTACTACAGATTAGTTGTCTATGTGCTGAGGCTGATTCTTCCACATGAGCACAAAATCTCATCCCCTTTTGCCTCTCAAGGACATCATTCCAGCAATTCTTCCTTTTCTCTCCCATGTTATAATTAACACATCTATCATTCCCATCAGCTTATAAACATGCTCTTATTTTTCCTATTTTAAAAAACAAACAAACAAAAAATAACTAGACTCCACTCTCTCCTCTGGCTATTGCTCCATTTCTCTGTTTCTCTTCACACCAACACTCCTTGAAAGATTTACCTAAACTTACTGTCACAATTCCTCTTCTCTCAGTCTCTTATGTTACAAACACACTTTGCCCCTACCCAACTGTTTCACCAAAACTACTCTTGTCTAGGTCAGCAATGACTTCAGTGTTCCTAAATCCAATGGTCAATTTGGTCCTCAATTCATTTGACTTGTCCAGTGACCACACCTTTCCATTTTCACACGTTCTTCACTTGACTTCCAGGCCACACTTCTCGTTTACATAGTACCTCACTGCTCACTCCTGACCATTCTTGCCTGGTTCCTCAGCTCTCCATATTGGAGTACCACAGGGCTCAGTCCTTGGTCATCTTCTTTTCTCTATACTTACTCCTTTGGTGATTCATCTAATCATACAGATTTAAAGATCTTTGATATACTGATAACTCTCTAATTTATATCTCTAATTTACTCCCCCACTCCCACATTCCAGACTTGCATATCCTAAATTTTGATAGCTCCCTTTAAATATTTAATAGACATCTCAAACTTAACATGTCTAAAACTGGGCTTCTGATATACCTAATCTGCTCTCCCTTGGCCAATCCCTGAAACCTGCTTCTCCTGTGGCATTCCCCATTTTAATAACTACCACTCCATTCTTTCAGTTGCCCAGGCCAAAAACATGTAGTTATTCTTGACTTAAGTCCTATACACACATAGCCTGTCAGCAAACCCTGCTGGCTCTAATTTTAAGACACGCCCAGAAACTGACCACTTCCATCACATCTACCATAATCACCCTGATCCAAACCACTATCATCTTCTAACTGGATCACTGACTAAATCATTGCAATAATTTCAAAACAGGTCTGTCAGCTTTCACCCATGCCCACTAACATCTATCTTCAATACAGCAGCCAGAATGAACCTGTTAATGAACCTAAAATCAAATTATATCATTTCTCAGCTCAAAACTCTCCAGTGGCTCCTCATCTCTGAGTAAAGTTTAGACTGTAGTCTAAACACAGTGGCTTTCAAAGCTCTACATGTTTCCTCTATTCATTTCTAGCCAAGCCCTCCTTACTGTTCCTAGAACATGCTATGTTTCTGCTTCAGGGTTTGTGTACTTGCTGCACCCTCTCCTGGAGCATCTTCTCTCAGATCGCTGCATCCTTTGCTTTCTCACATCTTTCTCTGCCCCCACCATATTTCCCTGCTGTCTTTTTCTCTATAGCATTCATCACCCTCTAATATACAATATAATGTACATACATACTGATTTTCTGTTCCCTTCTACCTCTGAATAGAATGTAGGTTCCATGAAGATAGGGATTTTGATTGTTTTGTTTAACTGTATCCTCCATGCCTAAAACAGTGCATCTTAATAATTAAAAGTAGCTGTTTCTCTGATGGATAAAGTGTTCTAATGATAAAAAGAAATAATTTCTAATTCAGGTTTTACTCTCTAAAGTTAAGACCACATTTCCTAGCATCCCTTCCTCAGTGAGCATGGTTCCTCAGCAATGATTAAATACATACATTTCTGAAAATAAAAAATAAGCTCTTTTTCCATTTATATGTATACACACACATGGTTTTTTTCTACCATGAATTTTACTTTTAAATTTCCTAGTATAAGTAGTCTTTGCTTAGCCACTGAAGTCTACCTAAGTCAGTTTTGTACAGATTAAAAATAACCCCAAAACTGCAAGGCCATTTTTACCTTCTAAGAACTTTTATAGAAACATCTAAAAAAATCATAGAAATTACACTGTAATAATGTCAATCAATTAAGCCACTACTAGGTTGACATGTAAAAGCCTTCTAATTTATTTATATTTACTAATCTTTTGACAAGTGCTTCTGTTTCCTTGTCCTTGACAACTGAATAATAATAGTACCCACCTCATTTGGTGGTGAGAATTATAAAGTTAATAACACATATGAGGGCACGGTGTGGTGGCTCACGCCTGTAATCCTAGCACTCTGAGAGGCTGAGGCTGGAGGATCACTCAAGGTCAGGAGTTCGAAACCAGCCTGAGCAAGAATGAGACTTCGTCTCTACTAAAAATAGAAAGAAATTAATTGGCCAACTAAAAATATATAGAAAAAATTAGCTGGGCATGGTGGCGCATGCCTGTAGTCCCAGCTACTCGGGAGGCTGAGGCAAAAAGATTGCTTGAGCCCAGGAGTTGGAGGTTGCTGTGAGCTAGGCTGACGCCACGGCACTTTAGCCAGGGCAACAGAGTGAGACTCTGTCTCAAAAAAACAAAACAAAACAAACACATATGAGGTTTCTGGAAGAGTGCCTGGGCACAACGTAAGCCCTATAGAAATGATTGCTGTTTTAGTAACTACTAATGCTACACTACTACTGCCTGTTGGTACGGCTATTACAACACAACCTGGTTCTACTCTTCATAAATAGCTTTGAAATTTGTTGGTGGATTTGGATGATTTGTGAAGTTCTACATTTGAATATTTCTATGTACTGTCTTAAAAGGCATAACTTGAAATAA